AAAATTTGGACTCACATAACTACTGTGGTCTCCACCTCCTATCTAACAACTAACATAAAACATCTACTCAAAAAAACATCATAAAACTAATTAATCTTCAACACCTCCGAAACCCACTTACCTGGGTAGAAGAGAGGATCACATGATCCACAGAAGAAGAAAGATCTGTCTTCACAGCATCAGAGTTCCCTCCCTTTAAGGGTTTCTTGGCACACGACCAAGGAAGAAGGGAAGAGGACTAGTAGAACCCCCTTCAGATCAGTCTGATCTACTTCTTGATCAGATTTGATCCACAGCAAGGTGAAGTCAAAAAATGAAGGATTGAGAAGACTTATCGCACTCATTCTAACCTCAGAAAACCCGCTCTGATACCATTTTTCCAGGTTAAAGATATCAAAAGAGAAGAAGAGAAGAGGAAGGGAGAAGAGAGAATTTTTGGATTCAAAATCACATAGCTGGCAGCACCAGTTATTACCTATTATATTAGGGCAACCCAACTAATAAGAGAAGAGGAAGGGAGAAGAGAGAATTTTTTGGATTCAAAATCACATAGCTGGCAGCGCCAGTAGTTGTATGTGGTGATCGATCTGTGTTAACAGATTTGTAACTTATCAGAGTTGTGATTGGTTAATCTAGGTTACTCTAAGACCTTGTAGCAGTGATAAATATGGCAACTGAAGATTCAGCCACGTCTATCATTTCGGGTACACAACATATTGGAGTCAAGGTACAGATAACATGCTTGTTCCTATCTACATTACACCCCTAGATGGTTTCAGTTATCTGGTGTGGTCTAAAGGTATAAAGTTGTTTGAGAGAGAGAGAGAGAGAGAGAGAGGAAAACTCAGGTACCTTAATGGAAGAATTGTAGAACCTCAAGAAGGTGGTCCTCTTCATGACAGGTAGTGGGAACAAGAAAATTACATAATCATGCCCTGGTTATTGACCTCAATACAGCCTTCTCTGAGAAAGAACTTCATGTGGACTGAAAAGACAAAGGAGATTAGGGACCAAGGCCGCATACTGAACAAAGACATCATGCCAGGGTAATATCAGTTACAGGTGGAGTCTTCATCTTGTAAGCAAGGGGACTGTTGTTACGAGTGTTTACATATGTATTATTTTATTATGTTATGTAATGGGGTATACTTGTACTTTCACCTCCCCTTACAACACCCTAATATAGAAGTTAGAGTGGACACCACCACTGATATCTTTTTGCTCCAATCTTTGTTTTTTCTCTGCTGACTGCTGTATTCTTCTTTTCCTTCTTATTCAAACTAGATGGTATCAGAGCAGGTTTTGACAAGGATTTGAAGTTCGTGTGACTTTTCCTTCTCCCTCCTTTAATCTGTTTTCCTTTGAGAAGGGTGGAACTTACTACATCTGGACTAGAGTTGATTGGGTAAGGTAGTCCCTCCTATTTTTTCTTTTTCCTTTTGGTCATAGTACCAAAAGGTTCATAGTTTTCAGTGTCTTTCACTGAGGAGAGGTATAAGGATTTGGAGAAGTTCTCCCTCTATTGATTGATGCTTTCTTGATCTCAAACTCCCTCGGCCTGGTTCACGGCCTGTTTATGGATCCCCTACAAGGGTTTTGTTGAGATTAGTAGTATTACTAAATCTCAAAATTGTTATATAACCTTTCTTCCTACTTCTTGTGTTTTTCAGGATTTGGCTTCAAGGAAAACAATTGGTAGGGGACATATCTCTGTCGTGGATGATGGTGCTAGTCTGGAGGCATATAAATCCCCTCTATTTCCAATTCCTCATCATACCTTTGGGATTGAGTGCAATGTTTATGACCCCTCTCCTTCACAAGTAACTTGATGCCAAGTCTATTCCATGTATCTTCCTTGGTTATTCTTCTTCTCAAAAAGGGATTAAGTGTTAGATCTTGTGTCTCGGATGTTATATGTTTCCTGGAAGAATCTTTTTTTAAGTCTCTGCCTATTCTCAGGGGGAGAAATGTTGCAGCGATGAGAGGTAGATTCAGTTACCCTTGTTTATTCCTATTTCTCATCCTCAGCAGCAACCTCTTCAGGTCCATTCTCATCACCAGAAGGATCAGCATATATCCCAAAGTAATATAAGATACTAGGCATATTTAAAAGCTTGAAAAGGTGGACATGTTTAATATTTATGCTCAGCGCTTTTTGAAGATAAATAAAGAAGACAATTAATTGAAAAGAAGAGTAAGATACATCATCTTACGTGACAGCATCACCACAAAAATGACAAAAAAAAATCACTGATCCAAAGATACAAAAAACAGTGTATGCAAAAAAATCTTCTCCAAAATCTTCTTTCCCGAGGCCTTCAAATTCTGGAATAATTAAAACCCAACCAATTATCTTCAAACTGATTGACGCCCCATAATTCTTCATATTTACGCTCAGCTTGAAGGGGAGTTATGAGATGATTGAGTGATACTAGGGGTATTTTACTCTTTATTGCTGGGCTGATTACGTGAAGCTTATTAAGTGGCATCATTGTAATGGTATCATTCTTATATTTAAGTCAATGACAAGGACATAAGATCCAAGATAGATTCTCAACCCATTCATGACAATACTTCTTTTCCTCTTCTTATTCTCCTCTTTCTCTTCACACAAGGCACCCCAACCACAAGTGATTTGAAAGTAAATTTGGGTAAGAGCTGCATTGCTGAATCTAGATTCCAGAATTTAGAAATGGAAGTTGTAAGGTTTGCTGAGATTTTAGGATTCTATTCCTGGAAAATATCCATCTGTTTGATGGTTCAACATATCCAATCAATCTGCTTCGTTGTCCTACACAAGGTCAAAAGTTTTTTATGATCAGGACCATCAGGTGTTCAGCCTAAAATGATTTTCCACCAGCTGTCTGAAATAAACCAGATAATACAACAGTTATAAAAGTAGTACTGAATATTTCTCCTGAAAATAATATTGTATTGTGTGGTGCTCATTGGAATCAATAAAAATGAGATGATAGTAAATCACATGTGAATAAATTCAGTTGCATCCTTCCAAGTACCTTTTTGTCAGTACTTCCACCTGACTGCTAATTTTTTGAAAGGTAGGCAACTTTTTACGTAGATGGAGCAACCTCAAGGAGCTGTTCATACAATCAAAGAACCCTATCATGGTCTTGTATCTGAAGACAGAAGACAACCAGTGGTTAGAATGAACTCCAATGATACACAATGCAAGACAGAAGCCTCTGAAGCACCTACTCATCTGAGAGTTCAAATGCTTCATCTTTCAGTAATTCTCTCTTCAAAGGCTGGGTGCTCTTCACTGGTGTCCAAGATCCAATATCATCTACTGAATCGTGGTTCTCGACACGTTGTTTGTTTTGCATGTGAACAACAGATAAATCACTTAATTTTTCCCCTACAGCAGGAATTTTTTGACACTTGGAATCCAAGGTATCTTTAATGCCTTCATCACATGTTTTCTCTTCCATGTTCTCTGCAGTAATAATAGAGTAGCAAGCTGGAAAACACAACTAGTATAATTGTCAATCCAGTAGATTTTGAAATATCAAAACAGCAAGAATAGTTGATAGTACAAAAGTAAAAGTAGGAAGGCCCTACAAAGAGAAATGTCTGAAAAGCAAAGTGAAGCAGCCCAGCTGCAAAAGAAGCAAAGTTTTTTTCTTCACTAAAAGAAGGGTGCATACAAGTAAGGAAGTTTTGAAGGAAACTAAGGAACATGAAAAGCATACGAAATCTCTCCTAAATGGTGATAAAATTGACACTCAAAAGCAGAAAACAAAGAATGAAAAAAGTGAGAAAACAGCAGGTGATGGAGGATGCGCAAGAAACTAACATGTTAGTTTCCTGTTGATAGATATCAGTGAAACACCTTATATACTCCTTACACTTTATTTGTTTCTGTTGAGGAATAACAAATCCAAGACATAAAATCAATTGCCAATGGAGAATATAAAAGGAAAATATAAAATAAAGCAATACATGAAGTATACAGAGATTCTCTCAACCCTGAAGTTCTGTGTTTATTTCAATCAATCAGAATCATACCTAAACCCTGAAGCACTGTATTTGTCTCAACCTTCGTTGAGTATCCAAAACTCCATCAGCACCAAATAAAGCAACACATTGATCATAGAGTTTTTTTGTTCAGCAAGAGTAGAATTTATTAAATAATTATTAAAACTACATGTTACATTTCTGTGGGTAGATCACCCACACCCAAGAAGACATCAAAATAAAGCCAGTATTCAATCCCACAACTCATACATTTTAGCCCAAAACAATCTAAATGATTAGCACTTATACTTATTTTTAAACAATGATAATTGTTTATCATGTTTGTTGGTAAGAGAGAATCCTTTGTAGTGCAACCAAACTAATAGTGAACCTCTCCCAAAGATCATGTTTTAACCTATGGCTGTGCTTAGCATCAACTGTTGCACTAGGACAGGCATATAGATTCCCAGAACTTTCCACCAAGACAAGAATCACTAAGTAAGGTCCCGCTGTAATTGGATTTGTTGTCCAGAACTTTCCACCAAGACAAGAATCACTAAGTAAAATCCCACCCTAATTGGCTTTGCTGTCCAGAACTTTCAAGACATTGTTTCTCTTTGCATGCTTTAATTTACATCAGGTCATCGGCTACTCATTCCATCTGAATTGTGATTACTTGGTGTAAGAACTAGAATAATGCCTACTGACTCAAGGAAACATTGACCTGACCAAGTAGGCCCCAGAATTTATGCCAGCAGCCATGCATTTACATTTATGATTAGGCATGAATAAAACAAAATAACAGAGTTAAAATCTGAAAGACCAACATTAGATGCACGAATATAATCCATGGATGCTTATGGAACTCTAACATAACATCTAAGAAAGAACTAGCCATGATAAGTGGATGCGGCAAACCATCCCCTATTCCCAAATAAAATAATTGCTCAGGTCGAATGGGTTCAAGGTCTTAAAAAAAGTACTGCATAAAAGAAGAAATAGTGAGAAAAAATACCGCAACAGATACGAAACAGATAAAGAAGAGGTCTGGCAACAACTGATCAAGGAAATCAACTCTTAGGAGACTAGAGTACGTATGGGCTACAAAGTCGTCCGGTGCATATACCGGGCTAGAAAGGAATTTCGATGCATGAAGTTTATACAAAACAAACTCATTAATCAAGTCTCATGTAGTTCTAAAAGGAATTCTAAATGTATACTTCGATCACCCGTCATGGAGGATGCGCAAAACAACAGAGGCGCAAAAAAAAACAGCCTGGTTTTTTACTACACACCAACTAATCAGATACGCAGAACAGAGGAACAAAAACCAAACTGGTTTCATTTCTCGCAACCCAGGTCGGGAGAAATAGGCGCAAAACAGAGTATGGAATTAACAGAGTATGGTTTCTAGTAAGGAAGTTGGGAAAAAGAAACCATACCTGTGTAAATGACAGTGGTCGGAAAAATAGACGTCGGAGGTTGCTGTGTTCACCGTCGTTCGTCGTCGATCCAATGTTCACCTTGAGCTCCCTGGGTCGTGCGCGGTAGCGAGAAATCGAAGGAATGAGGAACCAATTAAGGTTTCGAGTTTATCATGTTAAGCATGAATTTTTCTACTTCCGCTCAAATTATCAGGTGAAACTTCTTAGCGCGCTTCTTTCCTTTTTAGAAATTATGTATTATGTGACCGTTTTGCCATCAAGTTTCCGCCCTATTTCCTTTTAGGTTACCATTAACAGCAAGGGTCATTTACTTCACTCCGATCTCCTACCCACTATTTGTTCCCACATCTATACCCACGGAACATTACCGCCATGTAGTAGGAGCATCGCCCTGTGAAAAGTCCCGTTACATTTGAGTAGAGATGTGAGAACAACTAATGGGGAGCACCATCTATTTACCGTTACCAACCGAACTCTACGTGTTTTTTGGGCGTGAGCATATTTTGGGATTGATTTTTTAATAAAAAAGCTTATGTTCCTAAGACCCGCTTTATTTTTGTTTGGAAATATTTCTATAAGCAGTGAATAATATTATGCTGTTTGACTGTTTATAAAGTGATTTTCATCATCGTTTCTCATATATACACACTAATATCATACTAAATTATATCTAGATTAATTAGATGATTATTTTATAATATCTAGCCTATAAATTTAAATCCAATGGTATAACACTATTATTTGGCAGCCCAGTCCTCGAATTTATAATATGAGGGGGGAAGGGACCGCTCTTTTTGAGAGAGAGAGAGAGGGAGAGAGTTCTAAACAAGTTGACAGACCGTATAGCACTATCATTTGGCACTTAAAAGATGACGTGGCAAATTCAAGAAGCTAATCGTATATACGAATACGATGCTTTGGATGGGCCGTTGGGCCTTTTTTTTTCCTCAACCCAGCCAGCCCAACTCAGTGTAATGTGTCGATCCCGGTCTTGATAGCCACATCACATGATATTATTTGGGCCAAAATTCGTCAGGTCAAGAGAGTGATGCACGCTCTACTTAATACTTATAGTGCGTCAAAGCGAAGTGCTCGGTAGAGCCTATTCTCTGCAAGTGTAAATCAATCCGAAGATTAGTCGAAGGCGCAATGGAGGACCTGCAAAGCAAACAACAAGAAGATGAACAGAAGCTAGAGTAAGTCTGTAAAAAGGGCGTATGTGGAGTAGTTCCTAAATCAGTAAGCATGGCTGATTCAGGATTATTTGTTATTCTTTAGTCTAATTCAATCCCGAGAAACATCAAAATTCACGGATCTTAGGATTTTTGTAAGAATACTTGATGCCCCAATGGAGAAAAGATACTGGGCGTGGGGAGCTAAAATGGTAAGTGGGGTAGGAATACCCAAGGTTCAAAATATTGATATGTCCGATACGCCGTTAGGGGTGTATCGGGCGTTTCAATACTTGTTTTTTTACTTTTTTTTCAAAACTGTTTCAGGGGAGCCGGTCTAAGACCCTTCCATCCCCTGAATCGGTCAGACCCCGATACACCCATTGTAGGGGCGTATCAGAAGGGTCCCGAAATGATATATATCGGTCGATACATAATGATACTTTAAACCTTGGGAAAACCAATACCAATGGCAAAGGAAAAAGAAGATTCGAAGGAGAGGAGGAAGAAGAACCGATTTGGGAAAGAGCCTATAGAATCAGAGTATTATTAGATGTCATAAACCCTTTAGTCTTGGGCAATTGACAGTGAAGAAGATGGCACGGAAGTTTGGTATTTATTCCAATACGAGAAGCTACCAGTCTTCTATAATCGGTGCGGTTATCTGGGCCATCGTGAATTCAACTGTACAAGGATCTCAGATGCACAATTTGTTTTGTTGACCAACTAACTGAGAGAATGATGAACCATTCAATGGATCCAAGAAAAGAAGGGAGTTTTTTTGGTGAATGGCTAAGGGTAAACCCAGAAGAGGATGCCTTCAGAGTCATTAACAAAACGACCAGAAGAAACTCAGTCAGACGGCTAGGCCTGATAAGCCCTTTGATACAAATGATGAAGAGCAGGGTCGGGTTTTTAGGAAGGCGTTACCGGATTGCTCACTGGAAAGAACTATCCGAAACCCAAATACTATCCAAGCAATGCCACGAATGCCAACTCATATTACACATAAGCGCCATGTATAATACACTATTCACCAGCTCAGTTAACCGTTGGGGGCAACGGTTCATCAATGCATGAAATGTCAACCCGATTTATGACACTAACCTGATTTTCAAGCGCTTTTTCAAAAAACACATGAACCAAATAATGATATATATGGGCGTTTGTTGAAACGCCTATATAGGTCCGACATGGCACCATTTTTTTTAAAAAACAATCAAGGTTCCAAACATCCCCTAATTCTTTTAAATTTCACATAAAAGCCCGTCTACTTCCTTGTCTTGATTCCCCCCCCCCAAATTTTTTTATGACAACATAGTAGGAGACAATAAAGGCGATGTTTGGCATCAATGTCGTTGATCCAAAAAATGGTGACACATCAATGCCACATTGGAAATATCGGTGCTTCAGAAAATGGTAACATGCTTGGAACCATTTTTCCATAAAAAGCAATGCTCCAAATCACACCTTGAAAATTGAGAAGGCAGGATCTGGGGAAACACCAAATTCAACATTTTCTCAAATTGGAGCTTGTTGCTACCAACGAGGATATGATGTGGTAGTGACATGGATTTCTTATAATGAGTATTGGTGATGAAAACAGAGCATTGGTACTAAATAGAAGGTGTTGTTGTTACCCCATGAAACGCCCTACCTGGCAACAACATTTAAAAAAAAAACACTGTTTTCTAAGAAAACAATGCTTCCAATCCACACATATACAACACCACATCATCTATGCAAAGCATATACAAAATATGACAACAAAATATCCCAAACCCCCTTTTGTAAAGCCATAAAAGTCCTAAATAAGCAAACTCCCAAACATGGCAAAGAAGAGAAAACAAAACCACCTCCCTATAGACAAATAGGATGCATAAAGTATTGCTTTGCTTATTGCTTATGCCATGTTTGGGAGTGATTAAAAACAAGTGTTTATTTGGGTCATTAAGCTCTTATTGGTATTTGGGAAATAAACCCAAAATAAGTTTATTTTAGAAATAATAAGCCTTATTTTTAAACCAAATTTCTGGCTTTTTAAAGTGCTTATACCACTTATAAAATTCCCAAGTTGAAATTTATAAAAGTACTTTCGTAAAAGTATTTTTATAAAAGTGTTTTCATAAAGTACTTTCAGAGAAGTGTTGTTATAAAAGTACTTTCATACGAGTATATTTTAAAATTTTGAAAGAAAATGAAGGACAAAATAGTCACAAATGCTTATTTTAAGTGCTCATTGGAAAAAAAAATACTACCAAACACCTAAATGCAAATAAGTGTTTATTCAAATAAATACTTGTTTTTTAGCACTTACAACTTAAGCACTCCCAAACATGGCCTTAATGTTTTTTTTTTTTGGAGTAATTTTTTTTTTTAAACCACCCCTATTATTTAGCTAATTAACAAATTATATCTTTACTGTTTCACTATTATCTTAAACTACCCCTACTGCTTTTGGCAATTGACTAGCTCTACCCCTTCTTTCCTTAGCTCCCTTGATGTTTCGTCAAAACTCATACACATGTGACACCAGTGGCGTATAATTTTTTGAAACCCATCCTTCCCCCTCCTCCTCCTCCTTCTTCTTATTCCTTTTAGTAGTGGCAAACCAAGCTCTTCACACCTTATTCTTCAACTTTTGCCATAAGAATATACTAAATAAAATGAGCAAACACCAATGTATAATTTTTTTAAAATCCATTTTTACCCTCTTCTTCTTCTTCTTCTTCCTTTCAATTGTGCCAAACCGAGCTCTTCACACCTTCTTCTTCAACTTTTTCCATAAGAATTTACTAAATAAAATAAGCAAAAGTTATTTGTGAATATAAATTTAAGATTTTGGAAAACTACAATCAAAGGCCACCTCACTTTTACAAAATACTCTTACCTATGAAAATTGAAAAAAAAAAAAAACAAAAAAACAAAACAAAGAGTAAGAAACCCCAATTGAGGAAGAATCACGGAGACGCTAGGAGAGGATCCTTACGTAGTGGGTTCTTATGCAGTAAACTATGTTAGAGCTTAGAGGTCGGTCTGCAAGACGTCGAGGGATACGATAACACCAACCAACTTAAACTCTAGAAGAACATTGAACAGTCGCAGCAAACAGACGATGGGTCTCAGCAACACCGAAGCCTTGCCAGAGTCGCGGCAAATAGATCATGGGTCTCAGCAACAAAAGCGGCGGCCATCTCTGTGGCGAATTTGGTGTTGCCGCAACAAACCATGAAATCCTTATAGCCTGCATATTCGTCTAGGGTCCGGTTGAAATGTGCATTTAATGTACCGATTAATTAAGTCATACTCGTTGGCCTTGGCTACCGTCGCCGATCTACTATGTCTTCTATATCAAACTCGCCATCTGGATATGCTTCAACCGTTGAAACCAGTTTCATGCGGACTGGCAATGGGGTTCCCACCGCTGTGTTCCAGTGACCAAAATCATGTACGAATTGCAATCCCATCCTACAATTATCCCACCGTTGTGTTCCAAGGAACAATGGTTTTTCATGGGTATAGACTTCATTAGTTCATTACCTCTGTTATCTGGTCATGAAGAAATGGTGCTACAGAGAGTTAAAAATATTTGTCTGATACCCATCGTCTATCCCTAATCAAGATAAATAGTGAACTTAGCCTCTTTTGCATAAACGATGATGGAGAGAAAAAACAAGAAAAAAATTCCTTTATATATCTAACTTCTTGAACCCATTCTTAGACAGCATGCACTAGCATATTTGCTGCGACTCTGACAAGGATCCGGTGAACAGATCGTCCATCACCTGGGTTGTAGTGTATCAATGGCAGTTGCAGAAAGGTATCGTATACATGAAAAATAAAGGGCAATTTTGAAAATTTGAATCAAAATAAAAGTCAATTTTGACATTTTATTAATGATGATGACAATTGTTAGAAATAATAGGGTTCGGATGTGATAGGAACGTTGGATAAGAACAATGAGTAACACATAATAGACACATGTCCCAGCTGGCCGGTTTGCTTCAGGGTGAACAAAAGAGAAAGAGACTGCGCTTTTTCTCCTCACAAGACATTTTAATGTTTGAGATTGTATTAAAGTGATGAGAGAAACCGGAGGCCTTCAACTGATTGATCAAGTCAATCGCTCGCTTTGAGTCTGACTCAATCACAACCTCAGGCTGGAGAGTCTAAAGAGCTTCTAAACACGCTAGGC